GGCTCCGTGGCCACCGAAGGCAATGCTTTTAAGCCCCACACGATCGCCATGGACACGTGCTCGGGCTACAACTTGGCGAGGAAGGCCGACCTCCCCCCCGACTGGATCCGCTACGTAATACAGGACGCGCCATTACCACAACTGGCTGGCGCGAACAGTAACCCGCTTGGGCTTACGGCGGTCGTCCGCCTCGCGGTCCGGTTGCGGAACACGACGTTCCGCATACCTTTCTTAGTGGCCGAACAACTCGCTGTTCCCGTTCTACTTGGGACCTCGTTCATCGATGCTCACGTACGCAGCATCGACAATGACGGACAGAAGCTTGAACTTCGTCACGGTGGCTCGGTAGCCATCGTAGATGAGAAGGGGGAACCGACTCCCCCTAGCAGGCGACACGGTCGCCAAACGAGTCGGCCGGAGGTACGCGAGGAGGCCCCGCGGGCGATCCGAATCGCCCGCTGGGATACCGTCCCCGCAATGTTGCAAGCCCGTGTGCGTGTGACAACCGCGAGGAGGGGCCTTTTGTTCCTGGAGCCGAAGCCCTCACTCCAACACCGACATGGAGTGAGGCTGACGAATGGCGTCGCAGAAGTCCAGCCGAACCAGACATTCAAAGTCATCGTCGCAAACTTCTCGCGACGGGAGAGGCGGCTTCCGAAGCAAACCGTCGTGGGATACGCGAAGCGCAACCTCCTTGCGATCCTCACGCCCAAACGTCGAGTCGCTGAGGGGATCGCGCACGCGTTACACCTGACTGACTTGACCGATCAAGTCGGAGAGGTAGGAGTTGCCCCATCCAACTCCGACGATGAGATCATCGCGGGGGACGGTGAGGTCGACACGGACGAACGGTCACCTATATCCCAACCGACGGCGGAGGGTACTGTACTCCCCGAGCAGAAGGATCCCGAAAATCCACCGATGGATTGGGAAAAAGAGATTGACGTGACATACGTCGACGATGACAAGCTCCGTGGCCACGTTCTCGAGATGCTCCGTAAGCACTCGAGTCTGTAGAGCGGTGCGCTCGGAACGATCCAAGCCACGGAGCACTGCATTCCCCTCGAACCGGGAGCGAAACCGATTCGTTCTATGCCCTATCGGAAGGGCACGGCCATGCGCGAAATGGTCGCGAAGGAGGTCAACAAGATGTTGAACGCAGGGGTTATCGAACCCGCGAGCACCGACTGGGCGTCCCCCGTGGTGCTCGTACCGAAGAAAGACGGCTCTCTTCGGTTCTGCGTAGACTACCGGCGTCTCAACGCGAAGACTGCAACGGATTCGTATCTGCTGCCTCGTATGGACGACTGCATCGACTCGTTAGGAGATGCAGCCGTCTTTACGACGTTGGACTGCAATTCCGGTTATTGGCAGATCCCGGTCGCTCCGGAGGACCGGGATAAGACTACCGTCACGAAACATATGGGTACGTACCGCGATTTGCGCATGCCGTTTGGATTAAAAGGGACACCGGCCACCTTCTAACGTACTCTCGACATCATACTCTCCGGAGTCCGCTGGCAAATATGCCTCGTCTATCTCTATGACATTATCGTGTTCTCGCGTACGGACGCGGAACACGCAAGGCATCTCGATACCGTCTTGAGCTTGTTGCGGAGTGCCGGCATCTCCCTCAAGCTCAAGAAGTGCGGCTTCTTCCGTCCGAAAGTGCACTACCTGGGGCACGTTATATCCCCAGGTAAGTTGAGCTTGGCTGATACGGCAGCCGACGCCTTCAAGACGTTCACGTTCCCGAGGACGCTGACGCAGGTGCGCTCGTTCCTCGGAGCGTGTAACGTATACCGCCGATTCGTTAAGGGGTTCGCGAAGATAGCTCGTCCTCTGACTGACATGACGTGCAAGGATTCGGATCCTGACTTCTACAACCCCACCGAGGCGCAACTTCAGGCGTTTGAGAACCTTAAGAGGTGCCTGATCGCTCTGCCGATCCTCGCGTTGCCCCGGCATGGTCTACCATACATGATAGACACCGACGCGAGTGCCTACCAACTCGGGTGCACCTTACTGCAGTAGCACGAAGAGCCAAACGACTGGCGACCGGTGCGGTATTGGTCGTACTCACTGTCCGATAGTGAGCGCAACTACAGCGCTACAGAGCGCGAGTGCTTCGCTGTAGTGTGGGCCGTCCGCACACTTCGGCCGTACGTAGAAGGAACGAAGTTCACCGTCCGAACGGATCACGACGCCCTGAGGTGGCTCATGTCCCTCACTGAGAGTTCCGGAAGACTCACCCGATGGCAGCTACGTCTGGCTGAGTACGATTTCACCATTCAGTACCGCCCCGGGCGCGTGCATCAGGTGCCCGATGCCCTGTCACGCCTCGTGTCGCCTCGTGCCACCGATGACCCTCGCCCCACCTTCGACGGGGGTACGATCGTTCGAGACGTATCGAATGAGCTCGCGGACCACACTTGCACCGCGAGCTGTGACCATCAGGCCGTCCATGTTTTCGTGACGACACGGACCCAAGCCGGGTCAAGAACGGGATCGCGGGTACGACCGCGCGACGAACCACGAGGCGATGACGAAACCCCTGCTCTCCAAATACCCAATTCGTTTTGGGAGGAGAACGACGAGTTCGACGCCGCCGACATCCAGAGCGCCGAAGACCCCGAGGCTGGCGCGCCCGACTTCCGGTCGCCCCACCGCAGGACGACCTGCCGGCCCCTCTGACGATAGAGGAGATAGCCGAGGAGCAACGCGTGGATGACTTCTGCCAAACCGTTTTGGCTCGACAGTCCGAGTCTCGAGACTCCGCGTCCTTCGACGACCACCAAGGGGTGCTCAAACGGAGACACCCCTTCGACCCTGATATCGTTCAGGTGGTGGTACCTCGGACGCTCCGCGCCAGGCTCCTTCGCCTGTGCCACAACGCGGCCATCGCGGGACACCCGGGCCAGAACCTTATGTACTACGCACTTCGACGCGAGTACTACTGGCTGCAGAAGTCGCAGCCACGGTGCGAGGGTGTCGGACCTGCGCGATGAACCGGCTCAAGCTGAGGAAACACCTCAATCGATTGAGATTGTTCCCAGCTACGAGGCCGCTCGAGAGCCTCGCGATCGACATCTTGGGGCCGCTCCCCAAGACAAAGACAGGAAAACGGTTCCTGCTCGTGATTACGGACCGCTTCAGTAAGCTGACGCAAGTCGTTGCACTCCGCACGATAACAGCGTACACGGTCACAGTTGCGTTCTGCGACTCGTAGGTGTTCAAGTATGACGTCCCTCGCACGTTGCTTTCGGACAACGGCCCTCAGTTTAATGCCAAGTTCTTCCATAGCACGTGGCGTGTTCTGTGGATAACGAATTTGTACACTTCGGCGTACCATCCCCAGACAAACGGGCAAGTCGAGCGATATAACCGAGCAATCGCCTCGATGCTGCGGAACTACGTGGGTGAGCACCAGGACGACTGGGATGTGTACGTGGGACCGCTTACGTATACGTACAACTCCCACATACATCGCACCACACGCACCACGCCGTTTGAGCTCATGCTCAGCAGGCCACCGCCGGAGTTCTCTCTCCGACGGGCGGACGGCGACGCGCCCCCTTCCGATAAGGGGAACCAACGTGCCGAGTTCCTCAAGACCTTGGACTCGACTATCTAGAAGGCCTACGGGAGCCTGCGTCGGACGCAGGCTCGCTACAAACGCGACTTCGATAAGCGCATACGACGTATTAATTCCCGGCTCCGTCCCGGAAAATACGTATATCTGAACCCCACCGATGGGGGAAGACATCAAACAAGCTCGCCTCGTCCGCTGTCGGACCCTACCGCGTGCTCGCCAATGACCGCCGTACCATCACGATCGATCGTGATGGTGTCACCGAGCGCGTCTCCGCAGATCGCTGTGTGTATGCGCCACCGCCGACGGGCGCAACGGAGACGAGCACGACAACCCCGGATGACCTTGCCGACAAGGTCACCGAGGGTACTCAGTATGCCGTCGAACGACTACTCCAGCATCGAACCATGGAGGACGGAACTACAGAGTTTCTCATCAAGTGGGAGGACTACGACCAACCCACTTGGACAGCACGTACACACGTCCCCGAGGAGTTAATGTCACGGTACGCGAAAAAACTCCGGACGCGTACAGGTAGAGACCTCCTCTCTGAACTGAACGCGGATGTTCAGTCTTGAGGAGGGGGCCCTCAACCGCTCTGTCGCGGATTAACATCGGACGGCACGAGTTAACCGACAGGAGAGGCGCGAAAGTACAGCTGCCCTTATCGAAGGGACACCGCAGAAGACGAAGCCAGACATCAAGACGTATTGACCAACAAGGCAAGTACGAGAGGGTGCGAAGATGTCAAGACGTATTGACAGACTAAGGCCAATTATGCGACACCTAAACGCTAGGCAGTATGTAGAGCCTCGAGAGGGACGTTCCCCTCGTAAGAACAGATGGGACGAGGTAAAGCGAGATCGCCCGTTTGGTCGCTAGATAACCCGATGAGTTGCGCTTAGGCGCGTCGGCCCCTTTTGGGGAGGATGCCTCGGCATCCCACTCCCGCGCGAAAGGCAGACGGGAACGAGAGAGAGAAAAGCGCCACGTGGTGGCGGAGACGCGAAAGGCGTCATCGCGGTGAGCATGGCCTCGAAGGGCGCGTGTGTTCGTGTCGGTTCGTACCGCTACGCGAACGCAGGGGGAGGAGGTGCGCACGAACAACGGCCACCCCACTGCCACAGTAATATGCCATAAGGGGCACCGCCTGGCCTCAAAAAATGATGGGACTGCCACTGGTCAGCCCACGGACGATACACTGCTGTACAGTGCTCCGGCCGCCGCCGCGAGCAACACGGAAAAATAAGGAAAAATAGCCCCAACTGTACTCGCATACGGCGCGACGCTTGTACGCTCGTGCCTCACATTTAACACGCAATGGGGAGAGACCAAGGGACGCGCCGCGACCCGCTGGGCATTTTCGGTTTTACACGTGTCATGGCAGTGGTCGCAATCCAAAGTGTACATGTACACTTTGGATTATAGCGGGGTCTATGTCACACACGTGTCAAGCACCGGCGCCCCCAGGATTTTATTGTGTGGAAATTTTGGAAGCCGCGGACACCGCACCAATCACGGACTGAGTTTGAATTTTTGCGGAAATTATGTTCGCTGGAAAATTGGCCAAAATTTGGGAGGTGATTTTAGCAAGCGCACAGACACCGCGCTCCCTTCAACCACGTGCGTCGAGTCCTTGGGCACTGTACGCCATACGAAAAGCAAGGAGAAGGCGGACTGCGCTGAGCTAGGGCACAACGGGTACCGGACAGAAGGTACACACGTCCGCCTCCTCACCGAAGGGGAGGAAGGTGCGAGTTCGACAACGGACGCCCAGCAATCCCGACTCCGGCACCCCCAAGCCGACCGATCGGCTTGCCCTCCTGGTCCCCTCCTCACGCGGACCGGCGCGCACCGATTGAACGAGTGGCCCGAGCCGCAATCCTGCGAGCGGCGACGCTCGGGATGGCCACGGCTGAGGAAGGGACGAGCGCGAGTCACTCCCGCGCTTTCGAGCCCTCGCTACCGAAATAGAGGGGCACAGGAGGTTGCGCTACCGATGTGACTGTCTGCCGCAAGTCCGTGCTCATGCCACCGCGTCGAGCCGGGGGCCCGCTTCGAGGGCTGCACCTCGAAAAAACGGAGTTCACACACTCGACGGACGTGACGCCGCTGCGCGAGACCTCGATGGGGGTCTCCTCGAAAGGCCCTGTGCCCTTGCCCCAGACGAAGGGCACGTGACGCCCATCGTGAGACAACTGGCGAGGGGAGCTCGTCATGCTCGCCTCTCTGGAAGAGGCCCCCGACAGTCGCGACGCCGTACCCGTACGCTCTGTACCTCGCTCCTCTCCCTCGGAAGGAGGCCTTCCAAGAGCGGCAACGAACAGAAGCGTCGGAAGGCCAACCACGACGATTTAGGGAGCCCCATTGTCAGGGACGCTGGAAGGTGTCCCGTCTCGTCCGCACACGAATCGGGATGGAACCGATAACCGGCACCAGCGCACGCTACCACCCCGCCATAACGGGAGCCACTTCCGCTCTCGGAGGAAGACTTGGCGACGGACGCGACGGCGGCAAAAGGAGGTCCGATATACCGACCCTCGACAGGGATACAGCAAACACGCCGCCGCGGTAACCAGAGAGCGAAGGAGCACGCAGGTTCAACTGGTTCGACGACCCGGATGTCCGCCCGCTGTCCAATCCCGCGCGCGCTGCGGTTCTAAGGAACATTTTCAAGGTGTGTATGCTGCGGTAGCGGGGGTTGCCCGAAATAATGCGACACGCGAATTCCCATGAGGGGCATACTTCTGTAGGCATTGTTCAGGGTTGCGGAATTAATAGCTATTCTGTAGGTTCTTAGGTACTCGATCAAGCAGAGTTTCGAGACAGAGAGGGGGATGAGGAAGTCGGTTCGTGGCGAGGACCAGTCATGTCCCCGACACGCAATGACTTCTTGTCAGGGAGGACTACGAAGGGGGAGAAATGGCACAACAAGGGCGCACGCGCATCGCAAATGAAAAGGGCACGTGACAAGAGAAACGGTTGACGACGACATAGAGGAGACTGCGTCCTGAGAGAGAATACAATAGGGTCAGATAGACAAGCACCCGTGGATGCGGACGTCCCCGCTTAAGGGGGGGGGCCGTGTAGTATAACGCCCCTGGGGCTTTTTAGTTAGATTAGATCAACAACGGGATCCCATACTGTAGAGCTCGACGCTCTACAGTACAACTGCGCGTGTCCACGTGTACACCACGGTGTCAGTGTCTCACACTCTTCCGCTCTCTGACACGATCGCCGGCATACAGGGTCTCGCACAATCTGGAGAGGGATATCTCATTGTACTACGTGCACAATGAAAATGAAACATAGATACGAAGCGATCCGTTCAAGTTGTCAAGTTCTCGCATCTTGCGCCTCGCTCTCAGAGCTTGAGTCTCGCTCTCAGAGCTTGAGTCGTCAACCATACTTGTCAAGTTCTTGCGCATTACACATAATACTAGTGTCTAGACGACCGGCAATTTGCCTCATATGAGGTCAGGCTTGGCCTCATATGAGGCCGGGTTTTTTTTGCAAAAAAGTATACATTAAATCGAAATTTTATAAAATCAGTTTAGACACCATTTCTTTAACCAATATTCCCTCGGTAATAGCTTCCTGCAAAACATCGGGATAGCAGTTATGAATACACAGAAATACTAAGAATCTAATATAGTTTCAACAATCGGATGATATTTTAAACAGGCGTTTTGGTTTCGAAGATATCAACAAAAAACGCTTTGATGTTCTTTAAAAAAGCTTCTTCTTTAGGTATTCTCAAAAAGCCTGGAAAGGACGTGCAGATCTCACCAAGCTCCACCCTTCCACAGCGCAGAAGTCAACTGCGGTGGCGAGAGTATCTTTTTCCATTTTGTTCAGCTAGCACAAGTCGAGAAAAATTAAGTTGAAAAGTTACCTCATATGAGGCCATTTGTCACCTAGACACTAGTGCGTGCGTGTAACCCGAGCGGGGGCGGAGGTGGAAGCGCAGGACACTACTAAGGCGAAATACGGCACGACCGAACGAAGCTGCTTAACCGGTTCGGGGTGATGAATCGTAATTCTCATGGGGTCGTCTTTACTCGTCGTCGCCGTCCCGTGGGTCTAAGTACCGCGGATGACAGACTGTAATGCGGACAGTCTGTCCTTGTGGTGCGTCACGGGTTGTCGGGGATGCCCGTGGATGGCACCAGCGACCAACCACAACAGGTCAAATGAGTGTTGAAAGCTAAAGCGGCGTCGGGGCAAGAGCAAAAGGACTCCTCCGTTGCGCCACCTCGACAAGTCCTGATTCCGTTCGCCGTTCCGGGTGCAGCCTGAGGCGGGCGCCCTAGCGCCGGCCGCTGCCTCTAAGTTCATTGTCCCGATAAAGGAGTTGAACTCAGCATCGGCGATCTACCCGTCGCTACCGGACGGTAGGAACCACGTCTTTATCCCATCTTCTACAGGGATCTTAACGAAGGGAAACTCGCCTTGAGCCTCGGGGTTTCCCTTCTGCTCTCCCCGACGGCACCCGCCATCTCCGTTCGGGAGAGTGCTCTTGCTGACTTCTGAAATCGTTCAATCTCCGTCTTCTGTGACCTCATTTATCTCGGCATCGCGCAGCGCAGCAAGATTCTCTACAGCCTCGGAATGGTTGTCCTCTTTGATGGCCCTCTCGTACAATCTGCATGCACGATCTGTATCCCGCTGGACTCCTTCCGCTCCATCGCGTAACAGATTTCCGAGTTCCACCATTGCGTCTGTATCGTTGCTCTCTTCAATGGACATCTTAAACAGCTCAGCTGCGCGCACCAAATTGCAATCCAAACCCTTTGCCCCGTCTCTCAGCAAGATACCAAGATTGTACATCGCAATGCCGTTCCTGCCCTTCGATATTGCAAGCTCATAAAGCTCCATTGCGCGTACCGCATCGGCTTCTACTCCTTCTGCGCCCTCCTCTTTATCCAACACGAACGTCTTCCTTTCCCTCGATTTCCTTTTCCTCCTCTTTATCCAACACGTCGCGGCTCGTACCGCATCCTTCTCGACCCCCTCCCCTCCCTTCTCCAACAAACAACCTAGGTTGTACATCGCAATGCCGTTCCTGCCCTTCGATATTGCAAGCTCATAAAGCTCCATTGCGCGTACCGCATCGGCTTCTACCCCTTCTGCGCCCTCCTCCACCATCAGTCCTAGCTCGTTCATCGCCGGGACAAAATCATGCTCATTGATTGCACGCTCGAACAACTCCTTGGCTCGTACCGCATCCTTCTCGACCCCCTCCCCTCCGGTCTCCAACAAACAACCTAGGTTGTACATCGCAATGCCGTTCCTGCCCTTCGATATTGCAAGCTCATAAAGCTCCATTGCGCGTACCGCATCGGCTTCTACCCCTTCTGCGCCCTCCTCCACCATCAGTCCTAGCTTGTTCATCGCCCCGACATCATCATGCTCCTCAATCTTGCGTTCCAGAAGAGTCTTTTCTAAAATGTTAACAGTACACACGTCGTACTCGGTCACCTCACTGTCCGTGAAGAGCAACTGCTTTCGACGGATAGCCACTCCTTGCCCTCGTTCCGCTCCAATTATTTCTTCAAAACTACGACAAAGACAATCCAACTGATCCAATCTCAGTGATCTTGCTATCAACCTTCGCATCCATACGAGGCAGCTTCGTACATCCTCAGGTATACTCAGATCTACTGCGCATTTCAGAAAATCCAGAACCACATCCACGACATACTTGTCAAAAGCCGATTTCTCCACAAGCTCCTGCAATAATGAAAACAACGCTTCAAACTCTCTTCCACCACCCTTGACCCCGCAACTCCCCGTTCTGCTCACAAAAACACTGTGGAAAAAAGCTAGCACCAATTCTCCAGCTCGTCGCCTGTTCGTCAATATCATGTGTTCTGTCATCTCCTCACTCGAGTCGGTGAGGAGCTTCACGCATCTCTGCAACGCGTTCATATCACCATGCTCCAGTGCAGCAACCTTCAACAGAAAAATGTCTCTTCGGACCTGGCCCAACTCTTCCCCAATAACGTTTTCGCCTTTTGCTGGCAGGTTCTTCGCAAACTCTTCATCTTCATATGCTCCAGCCCTGACTGAGCTCAAGCAACCTGGCGACTTATCATCCAGTGCTTCTCCTACTATCAAACATCCGTCTTGTAAGGCCTCGCGGTCATTGTCTTCGTACACCGTGAAGCTTCTCTCCCCGACGGCTTGGGTGTACAATGTCGTAATGTTTTTCTTTGTAACTACTAGATCATGGTGTCGCATGCTCACTTCAAATTTCGCAAGAACTTTGTCCCCTTCTAGCTCAAATCTGCATTGCTGGCTTCGAAACGGTTCCCATCCCGACCACATCTCAACCTCTGTCCCCGTTTTGTGTGCTCTTGGCTTTACACTCACGATGCCTGACGTCATATTCCGGTGCCCAGCATGCAAGTCTGGCGAACACATACCATGATTCTTCTGCCATCGCCTCAATCCCTCCATACGTCCCAACGCTGCCTCCCGCCACCATCCCCACTCAAACCGCTCATCTCGCGATGTCGCCCCCCGGCACAACCGTACTCTCACTTTGCATCCTCTATCGCCCGCTCCACCTCTATTGCTCCAATCGTCATCGTCGCCCACTTGTACCTGAAGCCTCATTCTCTGAGGCCCACAAATCGGCACTATCACAAACATTTCTTCGCTCCGTTTCTTCCTCTCTTCTTCCGCATCCCCACCTCTTTGCTCATTCCCGAATGATACTGACACACTATCTCGATTTTCCGAGATTGCCACCCCCCCTGCCTCGCTTGACCGCACATCCGTGTCACTGATTTCCTCGCTCGCTTCTTCTGTATTCATCACAACCAGCGACGGAAAACTGACCATGCAAAGCGCCACCGCTACCATACTGCTCGGGCTCCCTTCCATTCCCGATACCCCTTCCCTCAAAACACATTGCAACTCCCACACTACACGACACTGCACCGCCCGATCCCTCAGTACTGCATTCCCTTCTCTCTGCCGCAGGGTACGTGACACATCATTCGATACACGCCCAACCTCCGTCCACCCCGATATCAACTCCCCCGCTTGAAACATCAAAGGCCTCCACGCCCCACTCTGCGAGTCCGTGTTCGCTTTCACCCACCTTCCCAGTCTCGTACGCACGCTCTCCAGCGAATATCCCATAAACGTCAATGTCTGCTCCAACTGCTCAAACTCTTGACCCACGACTCCAAACTGGAATGCTTGCATCGCTTCTTCAATTCGAACATGTCTCATGAAGAGGCTGCTCCCCCTCTTTTCCATCCCTCCCATCTCCACGCCTTCTACGCTCACCACAGTCTCTTGGTCATGTTCGACTTGACCCAGACAACGTCCTAGCCATTCTTCGTCTTTACTCACCAGGAATTGCATTTGCACTCCCGCCATAAGCGCTAACCAGCAGTCGACAAGCTCCCCGACCTTGGTCACCAGTCTATTCTCCTTGGATACTTCATGAAAGTATCGTTCTGGCATCGGAAATCCGCATATGCTAGCACTCCTTCTTTCCGCTGCATCCACTCCTGAAGTTCTGTTGCCCATACCCAGCTGTGCTCGCATATTTTCAATCGCTAAATCGTCATGCTCCAGTTTCTCATACTCCTCAGATCTACGAGAATCTCTGCTCGCACTTCCGTTGCGAATCCGTTCTTCTCCTATGTACAGCAAAATCGCAAGCCACTCCACTCTCTCGATGTCCAACTCTTCCACTTGTTCTTCAAACTCCACCGGAATTCCATCAATGAATCGATTTAGTTTTCTCTCGTAGGCCTTGTACCCCTTTCCAGGCCGCAAGACCGCATTCCTCTGCACTGCATCGAACGGCATTCCACGTCCACTCGTCATCGCTCGTCGCAACAAGTCCTCTTTTGACAAAAGCGACTTGCCTTCATCCAGCGGCAAACAACTCCCCAGCCACAGTTGTATTCCGGCCGTCGCCAGCACGCGCCCAGCCAGGTGTTCTCGTCGTCTTTTGTACCGCTCCAAGTTATTTATCGCCCCATCCTCATCATCGACTTCCGGCGCAACGGTGAACTCCGTTATCCACTTGTTCAACCCCTGCGCCGCAAACGCCACGCACCATCGCAGCCACAAATCCTCTGGCTTGTGCGGTACCTGGACAAAGCAGGGTATAGACCCATTCCCAAGCCATTTCTGCACTATTCCATACACATACCGAAATGGTATCGAGAGCGCCTGTAACAGAAGCACGATGCGTTGACGAGACACATTTCTTCTCTTTGGATCTATTCTGAACTCAATCTTGTCAAACACTATGTAGCACCGAGCATTCCCATGGAACACACGGTTCTCAATAAGTTCATCGCTCACCCATAGTTCATCTACAATTTCAGCCACAGAGTGCACGTTTTCCTTGTCATCCGTATTTCCGGACTCCTGCGAAGTACTGATATTCGTGGTTTCCTGCTCTCTTCCTTCGCCATTCTGGGTTTGCTCCTTCCCATCATGGCCAGTACGGGCGCCCGTGTTGAGCTCATATTCAATCCCAAGGGCCCGCAACGACTCAATGCTCTTGACAGCCCACTTGACAAATAGCTGCAACTGCCACAGTCCCTATAACGTCCGCACAACGTGCAGCAACGCAAACAGCATAGCGACCAGCGCAGTGAACATCTCCTTTTGATCGACATTGGATGGTACACTATCATATGCTTTCGAGAAGTCACAGAACACGTCGAGCGTAATTTTCTTCTTGTCCCACCCATTCGTTATGCGCTGGCATAGGGCGGCGATGTGCTCCTCTGTGTTTCTGCCCATTCGGAACCCCGCCTGCTCTGGCGGCAGTCGAGGATCAAGCCATTTCATGAGTATTCTGTTCACCATCCTTTCAGCGACTCGCGCTATCACTGAGGTTAACGAAATGGGGCGAATCTTGTCTGGCCGTCCTGGTTTTGGGATTGGTAGGAGTGTTGCTAGACGCCACTTCACAGGTGTTTTGCCTTCCTTGCATGTCCTGTTGATAAACCTTAGGAGCCTTTGGGTGCCCTTGGGTAGTAGCCGTTTTATAAACGCTATTTCCACTTGGTCTGGCCCTCCAACCTTCCCCTCATCCATCATGTTGATGGCCTCTTGAAGGTGAGCGTGCTGAAACTGCGGAGCGTCAATTGTTTTTGCTTCTTGTTCATATCTATTCAGGACTGTCCTGTATTTGTTCCGGCTTTCTCGGTCTGTTCCTAGTGTCCTCGCTTTTCTAATCTCTGTTACCAACTTGTTGCGAAGAGTATGCTCTTGTTCTCAGTTGAGGCATTGGTTTCATGAAGTACCCATAGGGATACCCCTTTCGACTGGTTATTGACCGTCATCGACTCTATCTAGTACTTCGAGCCCATGTAGCACATTTTCAATTGATTCCTTGCATAAAACTTCTACAGATCCATAGTCTACCTTCTCCACTACTTCTGACACCTTCTGGAGTCGGTGAAGGTTGATGCAGAAGTACGATATTAGTGCCAGCTGAGAAACACGTTGAAGTGCCTTCGGCTCGCCATATTCTCGCCAGTACTGAAAATATACCTTTTCAGCAAGTTCTTGTTCGTCCTCTGGGTCGTCTTCTGAGAACCGTGTCACGACGAAGTCAGAAAACGGATGCCCAATGTAAGCACTGTTCCAGTCAAAGATATGGTGGAACGAATTATCGACAGCATCGCCAATATTTAAGGAATGCAAATCACCATGAAGAAGAGTATGCGGGATGCCGTAGGATGACAGCTCCTTCAAACATGATTCGAGTCTGGGAACGTTCGCTCGCAGTTTAGCTACAGACACGTTATCTCCACTTTCAATCACAAGTGAGCACCCTAAAATCTCTTTCACATTTGATAGCAACCACTTCGCTGTATAAACGGGCACCCCGGCATGTTTAAGGACCTCCAGGTGTGGTACAGAACGCTTATGAACCCCTGCTATGGTTTTCATCAGCAACTCGGTGTTAATACTCGGACAACGGCTCGAAGCGACACTCCTTTCCATGCACATGTTGCGAGCTTCATTCACGGCCACCATAGCTGGGGCAATCTCTGTGACCACTTCATGGATCACTGCAATCATCGAAGCTTTCAAAAGCCGTGAGTGAAGCGCTTTTACGTATAGGATATCGTCTTTCCTAGGAGCGCCAGAGGTTGGCTCAACAAAAGGTCGCACGTGACATCTCAGGACACATGAGGCGAACGTGTTCCGCATAATTGCTATAGGCTGTTCCAACTTCATGTTATTCTCTTGCAAGACAGCAGTAATCCAGTTTGCAGTTTCCTTAAACCAACCGGAAGAACGCCACGGCACGCGATTCTTTGGAAGTCTGCTGTTTGAAATATCATCGACGATTGCAGATAGCAAACTCCTCGGCTCAAGTTCATGACCAATCACCTTCCAAGGACTTTCCAGAGCCTCTTTGTACTCAATCCATTCAAGACCTCGAGGGACTTCGAAATCAACATCGAGAATTTCGGCAAGCAACACGACTTCTTCAGTTCCATATCTACAGTTTGGGCGAACCCAAAGAGGTCGAAGGACGCATAAGTTCAAGCCAAGCTCAGCCTTCACTATGTCGTGCAGTACATCAGTATCCCTAGCCCAGTTAATCACCCACTCATATGCTTCAGTTCTCGGTGGGGACAGTACAGGGAGGCGCATCTCAGACCTCGCCCGATGAACAAGAACAGCACATTTCAATGGCGAGGGAATGACGAAATGGTATGTGCTTGGTTCTTCACCATCTCCCTGCCATGTGTCTGAACCGGTGTCACGATACTGGTCCAAGGTTTCGCAAATGTACCCCACTCGATCTTCGAGTATTTGTACTAATGACCGCTGTTCTACTGGTTCCAACATTTCATACGTAGCGAGCAATACACTTAAATTGTAGCACATGAATATTGGGGAAATAAGGAGGAAAGCCTCTGCCATCTTCCATTGACAAGCAAATCCCGTCCAGGTCTCGAAGTAAGACTCTTTGGAGTTTTTGAATGCATTGTCGCTCCAACTATCTTCCAGAGTCATGCGATAAAGATCGAAAAAGGGGGGTGCGATACAGCAGTTTGCCCAATCGATGAAACAAAGTCGATTCTCTTCTTCGAGACCTCTCTTCATATTTGCCTCACTACAGTCACCATGAACCAGTGTATCTGGAATGTTGTACCGTAAAAGCACACTGCAAATATCTTGCAACTCGTCCACCCGGTTTCGCAAAGAATTAAGCGTTTCTTTGTCCCGGCAAAGGTCAAGAACAGGGTGCTGAAGAATATTTGCAATATTAGAGGAAATCCACGGCAGTCCTCGGTAGGGCACCCCGCCAGCCCGAAGTACATCGATGTGCTGAATTGAAGAAATGTGAAGATTTGCAAGCATTGCCATGACAGCCTTTGGATCGGAGTACTCTAGATGTTGGGCCCCAATCTGGAGCATTGCATTTCGGCTCCCGTCCACCGCTAGTATCTTCGGAACAAAGCCAGGAAGTGTAGCAGACACTGTCAGAGTCAGCTTCGGTTCCGGTACGCTGGGATGGGAAGCTTTGAGATATATTGATCCGTCATGACGCCAGTTTTGAACAGGGGTTGAGTTTAGACAGATCTTGTCTACTTTGCAAGACAGAACAGTAGAGTAAGCCTTGTTTCTTTTTTGAGTAAGTCTCCCAATCACATTCATGCCATGCCGCATGATGACTGAAAGAGCCCAAAACTCAGTTTGTCTAAACCATCCAATTCTGCGCCAAGGAGATGCGCTCTGGTGACCATGGCCATCTGTGTGAGAGGAACAAATGCTTCGAATCCGTGAAATATGCATGTCCTGGTGAGGACATGACCATGCAGCACCTTGAAGTGCGTTGAAGCCGACCCATTCTAACCCCTTTGAAAGGATGAAATTGTTTTCTAATGGTTCCAACAGAACTACAGCTTCTGAAAACATTGGTGGATCATAACGGTCAGGTGGGGGACGATACCAAAGAGGCGTCACAGCATATGTGTTTATGTCAAAAGTTCTTAACACGGCTGAACAGAAATCGTCAGTTTGGGTTCGCCAATCGGATAGCAATGGAAAGTTGTCATAGTTGTCGTCCTCTGGTGGCGACAAGACAGGAAGACATAGTGCATTGTTTGAGCGGAAGGCTACGATACTCCTGCTCTCCACAGAAACGATAACCAAATGAACTTTGGAGGGAATTGCTTCCATGGGGAGGCATACCCTATATCTGAGTGCTCTTCGCCTATTCACTGCGCGTGAGAAAGGTTCTGTGGTAAGCGGTTCTAGGGGAGTTCGTGGCGCGGAGGAATACGGTTCCGGTGTAGGGTTAGTTGCACGTGCAGGCGGAGCGGAACGTAGACCGGTAGCCGCGCGACAGAGGGGGACGATAGACGGAGAGCGATCGAGTCGGCAGTCGCGAGAGAATGGGTACCAAGCACCCCGAGTGAGTGAAAATCCCTTTCTCTGGATTCCCCTCGGACTTCAGTTGAGGACATTGAGTACCCCTGCGGCGACCCGCCGCCCCCAATCATTTCTGTAAAATCGAAAATATTGAATGACACCACAGATTCATCACGAAATATAACAGTGTGTTGTCGGTGAAATGGGGGAGGCGGTTCTGGGGAGCGTGCCGTTCGTGGTGAGGGTTGGCCGAGTGTCTTCCCCCCTTCCCCGCAGCGCCCGTCACCCTCTCTCTTTTATTTCTACGAAATTCCTTCCAGAAGCGTCCACGCATCCGGCCCGGATTCCGCCGGGCCGTCCGCGTGCGCTTCTCTAAAATTCAAATAAAATCTCGGACTACAGAATAAAATCTCCCTCTACAGTAAAATGCAAATATTTCCCTAAAAATATCTCACATGACCCCCTCCTCAGGGCAGCCCACGGGGCTGCCGCTGCACGTAAATATACTGGCCCCGCTTCCTCGCGTGACCGCTCTGGCCCCCCCGGCCACCGTCTTTCCACCTTGCCACTGAACTGCACTCTCCCTGCCTCCTCGCGCCTCTCTCGCCGTCGAACTTCTAACAGTCAATTTCAAGCCGCGCTTCATCTGCGTCGCCCGAATTCCGGTTGCCCAACGTCAGCTTCGCGTCAGCCTCGGGCCGCGTGGTCTCCGCGTCGCCCGGGACTGCGGTCCCTGACGTCAATCGTCGTCTGGGACTCAGGCCGCGTGCTCTGCGCGTCGCCTGAGGCTCCGTTTCCAGTCGTTCCCGTTTCGGGACTTCTCGGAAACGCACAGCGTCTCGAGCCGCGCACGGGAGCTCTGTGGTCCTTCGGGCGGTACTCCCTGTGCGCACTATGGCTCGAACCAAGCAGACGGCGAGGGCTTCCACCGGCGGGAAGGTACCACGCCGCGCTATCGCCACTAGGGCCGCCCGCCGTTCAGCGGGCGTGTGGCGAGAGAACGGCCAGGACGTCACCGAAAGGGCGTCTCATGGCGTAAATTGCCCCTTCATCGACTTCGAAGACCCAAGTAATGCCGAACATCTCCCTGACCTTTGGGAGCACGCGGGACGTTCCGACGTCTCCGCGCTTCGGTACCAAGTAGGAGATGGTTCTTTCCGAATCAAATATAAGGAAGTGGGCAACCGGGCGTCCGTCGTAGCGGCCGTATCTGCCGCCGGGGCCCGGCTTCTCTTCGGGGCCCATGTGTTGGCCTTCGTATCGGCCCGCCTCGCTCGCAAGGCATGGTTCACCTCCGACCGCTGCTACCGGCTGGGGCTCACCGAGAGCCACAGCGACGGGACGGAGTACACCTGCTGCGACGACCCAGAGTGGGTCGTCGAATTTGTCTGGTGCTCTGATGGCGGTAACGGCGAGGTCAAGGGTTGCCACTACGCCGTCGGAGAGGGGAGTCCAGAGAAGTACATGATACTTCTCTACACGATGACCTTCGATCGCGTGCCCTCTGCGAACGGCACTGCCCGCCGGGGCTTCAACTCTTCCTTTGGTAAGGAGTGCTCAACGCGTATGGACGCTATTCTGGCTATCGACAGTTGGTGTAGCCAGAATAGAGGGAAGAGGAAGCGAGTGAACTTTGCTATGTCACGCGACGTCTCCCCACTCGCTTCCCGGTACCTTTGCACGTCCCGGACCGTAGCGTTCCAAGACAATACCGTCTTGTGCATCCGGTCTGCGGTCTGCAACGCTATGTTCCTTGTCGTTGGTCGCGGTGCTGCTGACCGCCTATGGGTGGCGGAAGCGGCCCGAGTCGCCGCGTTCGAGCGTCAGATGGACTATTCCCCGAGCGTGCACCACTTTACGCACATTCAGAGGGTAATCCGAGGAACAGCCCTAGGAGGGTTACAGAAGTGGCCCCTAGGGGATTCGAAGTACTACGGCCCATGCCGCCGATCCGACAAAGTTCCAGTACTTCGATGATGTGCGTCTCTTGCGCCGAACAACCCGGCAGCGTAGAGACGCCAATCAGAGTCCCGGCCGGGAGAGGAAATCCAAAAAGGTTCGCCGAGGAAATCGTGGCCCCAAATCCTCCCATGGCAAGGTAATTGCCGTGCGTAGGGGTTCCTCAAGCAGCAAACACTGATAGTTCATGCATAAGAAACGAAATCAATCTCAATCGCCTTCAATCTAGTACATGCGAAATATTAAAATGCATCAAACCTACATAAGATGTGCGGGTTTCTGAATAAAAGGGATTAAACGTCTTGCATGTATATCCCGTCGACTGTAGCGCAATCCCGGCGACACGAGTGTGTACCGCGGGTGCTTGGCTCGTACTACCCGGCATGGGCCGTAGTACTTCGAATCCCCTAGGGGCCACTTCTGTAACCCTCCTAGGGCTGTTCCTCGGATTACCCTCTGAATGTGCGTAAAGTGGTGCACGCTCGGGGAATAGTCCATCTGACGCTCGAACGCGGCGACTCGGGCCGCTTCCGCCACCCATAGGCGGTCAGCAGCACCGCGACCAACGACAAGGAACATAGCGTTGCAGACCGCAGACCGGATGCACAAGACGGTATTGTCTTGGAACGCTACGGTCCGGGACGTGCAAAGGTACCGGGAAGCGAGTGGGGAGACGTCGCGTGACATAGCAAAGTTCACTCGCTTCCTCTTCCCTCTATTCTGGCTACACCAACTGTCGATAGCCAGAATAGCGTCCATACGCGTTGAGCACTCCTTACCAAAGGAAGAGTTGAAGCCCCGGCGGGCAGTGCCGTTCGCAGAGGGCACGCGATCGAAGGTCATCGTGTAGAGAAGTATCATGTACTTCTCTGGACTCCCCTCTCCGACGGCGTAGTGGCAACCCTTGACCTCGCCGTTACCGCCATCAGAGCACCAGACAAATTCGACGACCCACTCTGGGTCGTCGCAGCAGGTGTACTCCGTCCCGTCGCTGTGGCTCTCGGTGAGCCCCAGCCGGTAGCAGCGGTCGGAGGTGAACCATGCCTTGCGAGCGAGGCGGGCCGATACGAAGGCCAACACATGGGCCCCGAAGAGAAGCCGGGCCCCGGCGGCAGATACGGCCGCTACGACGGACGCCCGGTTGCCCACTTCCTTATATTTGATTCGGAAAGAACCATCTCCTACTTGGTACCGAAGCGCGGAGACGTCGGAACGTCCCGCGTGCTCCCAAAGGTCAGGGAGATGTTCGGCATTACTTGGGTCTTCGAAGTCGATGAAGGGGCAATTTACGCCATGAGACGCCCTTTCGGTGACGTCCTGGCCGTTCTCTCGCCACACGCCCGCTGAACGGCGGGCGGCCCTAGTGGCGATAGCGCGGCGTGGTACCTTCCCGCCGGTGGAAGCCCTCGCCGTCTGCTTGGTTCGAGCCATAGTGCGCACAGGGAGTACCGCCCGAAGGACCACAGAGCTCCCGTGCGCGGCTCGAGACGCTGTGCGTTTCCGAGAAGTCCCGAAACGGGAACGACTGGAAACGGAGCCTCAGGCGACGCGCAGAGCACGCGGCCTGAGTCCCAGACGACGATTGACGTCAGGGACCGCAGTCCCGGGCGACGCGGAGACCACGCGGCCCGAGGCTGACGCGAAGCTGACGTTGGGCAACCGGAATTCTGGCGACGCAGATGAAGCGCGGCTTGAAATTGACTGTTAGAAGTTCGACGGCGAGAGAGGCGCGAGGAGGCAGGGAGAGTGCAGTTCAGTGGCAAGGTGGAAAGACGGTGGCCGGGGGGGCCAGAGCGGTCACGCGAGGAAGCGGGGCCAGTATATTTACGTGCAGCGGCAGCCCCGTGGGCTGCCCTGAGGAGGGGGTCATGTGAGATATTTTTAGGGAAATATTTGCATTTTACTGTAGAGGGAGATTTTATTCTGTAGTCCGAGATTTTATTTGAATTTTAGAGAAGCGCACGCGGACGGCCCGGCGGAATCCGGGCCGGATGCGTGGACGCTTCTGGAAGGAATTTCGTAGAAATAAAAGAGAGAGGGTGACGGGCGCTGCGGGGAAGGGGGGACGACACTCGGCCAACCCTCACCACGAACGGCACGCTCCCCAGAACCGCCACCCCCATTTCACCGACAACACCCGGCGACACGAGTGTGTACCGCGGGTGCTTGGCTCGTACTACCCGGCATGGGCCGTAGTACTTCGACTCCCCTAGAGGCTACTTCTGTAACCCTCCTAGGGCTGTTCCTCGGGCGACCAGAACTTGATCGTGTACGTCGAACTGGCGTGGCGACACAACCGTCATTCTCTTGCTCCTTTTTTCCAACTGTTTAGCCGCCCTTGTCGATCGGAGCGCGAGCGTCGCTAACAGTTCCAAGTTGCGCGCCTCTACGCCGCCCCACCGGATTTAGTTCAGTTCGGTCTGGGGTTGCGCGGGCGGCTTTACTCCATACATCAGCTCAAA